TTTTTTTTTTTTTTTTTTTCGGGTGGTAGCGCGGTAGGGAAATAAATTGGGGGATGTTCAGTCACACAATTGTTCCCATCTCCCGATCTTTTTTTCGGTGATTACCCCTTCACCTCCCTTCCTCCCTTGGGCGCTTATTTCACAGAGAGGCGTCTGTATTTCCGTAAGATCACGTAATCTTGGAAGCAAATTGAAACAAGCCATACATGCAAATAGAATTCTATTTCCTATTCAGTAACGTTTAATACATCAAAGAATTTCACGAGTAACCTTTAAATTATTGTCAGCAGAACCAACTAACAATGGCTCAACGGATCAGAAATGCTCTTCCTATAAAAGAAAGAAACTTTTCTCGTTATGAATTTATAACTAGTTAAATTACTGAATGAACTACTGGAAGTTTATATTTTCGATTCAGTCACTATACAGTATTAGTAATTACTGTTTGTAACTTAACTAATGTGAACTCTACGTTAAGTACCTTCATATTTTAAATTACCAGCAGAAACTCTGGAAGGCTCATATAAACAGACAAATAATTCATTCTTTGACCAGCAAAGTTTCCGGAAAAGTATCAACCAAAATTATTCAACATTGCGTGCAATTTGTAACGAATCAGATAAGCTTCCAGAGCTCGAGACCTGTACAAGTGCTCAAATTAAAATATAGCAGTGTTTCGTTATAACACAAATATTGCGAACAGAGAGGGGTTAGGCAATTGTACCTCGGTGCCAGAGTGTTCACTCTGTCTGGACGAAAGGAGAAGACACTGGGAATGAGGTGGATAGAACCAATTTACGAGACGAAAACCGGACTATTAAACCAATCACTAGAAAGGGCGGGAAATCACAAAAGTCACTATAAATGGGCAGTTCGTTCACAGCTTGCTTCAGTACAATGTATAACATATGGAGCCGCCAAAGGAGCTACGTCTCGACACACTGAATCTTTTTCGCGACACAAATAGTTACCTTCAAACAGAAGGAAACCGCAAAATAGTACTTTTTAAAGGTAGGTGAACACTTAAGAAGTAATTATAAACAAAACAGAGACAAGGATGGCTAATATAGGAAAAGATTGAGACGGATTGCCAGCCAACTGCAATTTTGTTTTTCAAGCTTCAAAAATTCAAGATGGTCATCCCGAGACGTTGTTCCTTCAGGAATGTTTCCTTCCCTCACTCTTGTTATCCTCGTAATTTGCATGCTTAATAATGTAATGATTTCAAGAAAAATTAGAAAAGTAACAATTTTTGCCTGGTTTTCAATATCACTTCAGTTTCTCACTGCAATAACAAGTTATCAATACAATGCAGAGTTTATATTACCAGTTATCTACACTCACACACAATTCGCATTCTTTACGTCTTTACACGATGCCTGTTTTCAAAATAAATTAATAGTTAATCACATACAATACCTTATCATCTGATATCTTATGATAATCAAAAATAAACTATTCTGTGTAACGTGCCTTGACGCGTTATCTCTCAATTTAAGCGTCGCGTATTACTTTTGCTTGAAATACTAACAACGTATACCTCATTCTGTGTGGATACAAAGGCATTTGCCTATTTTGACCATTTTCAGGGCCAACAAAAGAAAAGCTCCTAAAATCGCAAAACATAAGACCTCCGGCGAGCGCTTATTATCTCTGCATAATCTCTTGTTTTAAAGATGTGCAATAATGTAACTAAATAACTTGCATTTTGCAATCATCATATATTGATAGTAAATAGTTTAAATTAAATTTCTGTTCATTTCTGCTGTCTTATCCAATTCGAAATTTAAATAATACAAAAATGCTTCTACCCATGGTCTCTTTACCGAATTTTGCAAATTTTTAATTTTTTTTTTGTGTGATTTTGTTTGGTAAACTTCATTCTTTTCACAGCTGATACAATGGCGTAACATTTCCTTCCATGAATTTTCTACAAGTAACAAGTTTATAAAAAAAAAAAACACAAATACATGATTTTGAACCAATACACAAGTCCAACCTCCGGAGAAACTTCACTTTCAGCCATAATCCCCTGTGGGTAATGGGCCTCAGATAAACAGCACAAGTATAAACTGAATTGCAACTGCAAACAGAAAGTGACCTATTTCGGGGAAATGACAACTCTTATAAACACCGTTTAGGGAGAAAAGCAATTTTTTACCAGTACTCTCATAAAAAAAAAGTTCCTTAAATCAGGAGACTGGAAACATTTACCAGAAACTAAAAAGTGTATCACTTTTGTGCAACATACATCGGAAACATCTCACAATCTTTTCAACAGAAAAAAAAAGAAACAGAAAAAAAAAGAAACAGGAAAAAAATAGCATCATATTTACAGGACCTTCCCTTCTTTTATGGCTTCTTACGCAAATAGCATTTTTAAGAGTTGTAATCCCCGTCAGCTTGTTAGCATGTTTTTTCTCATTCACTTTGTTTAAACGGCTCTTTTTCAAGCCTTAACAGTTCTGGTTCCACGACTTATCAAAGGACTTGTTTACAGGGATTGGGTCAAAGCAGTGTGACAGCACTTCAGTTGATTAATAATCAGAACTCTTTCCTTTCCGAAATCTCAAAAACTTTCAAAGCGCCAGAGATGTCGCAAGAATAGATATTATGCCATTTTTTTCTGTTGCACAAAATTTCCCTAAAATCAAAGTTCAAAATAATGGTCTACTAAGGTTTGAAACACTAAAGGAGGTAAATTATAAACCCAAAAGAAACAATGGAAGATGCACCATTCGCGACGTGTCTAGGTGAAGGATACACCAACATTTCCCATGTGAAGAACAAAATCATTCAAGTCCATATACCAAACAGCTCCAGTCTGCCCCCTGATGTTATGGTAAGGGCGGAGGGGGTGGTGGTGGGGGTGATGATGGTTCAGGCTCTGGGGGTGGTGGAGGGGGGGCCATTGCTTGCATCATTCCTGGCATCATTCCTGGCATCAAACCAGACGGAAAAGCAGGCGATTGCAAAAATTGCGCCGTAAACTGCCCACCAGGAAGAGGAGGTTGAATTTCCGCGCTTGGAAAACCACCCAGTGTAGCTGGTGCGTTTAACGAGGAGAGCATGCTTAAGTCCATGGATGGAGGAGGGGGTGGGGGCGGTGGGGGCGTCATTGGTTTACCCGCGGGTTGCGATGGGACAACCATTGCTGGTGGTTTTACTGAACTCGAAGAATGTTTTTTAGACGGTTGCGGTGTACCAGATGAGGACTTGTGACCGTGCCCGTGGTGAGACGGCGGCTTGTGGCTTGACGACGCGTGGTGGGACGATGGGTGAGGTTTCTTGGAAGAGTGCAAATGCAAAGAATGAGAGGAAGCTTGAGAAGACGAGTGACCGGGTTGAGAGTGATGAAGCGGATGCGACGGCTTCACAGCATGGCTGGAGCTTTTGTGCTGAGACGATGAATGAGAGTGCTTGACGCTTTTAGTCGGGGAAGAATCTGACGACTGAGACGACGCGCTGGACTTGCGATGCGAGGAAGAGTGCGGGCGTTGCGAGTGATTGTGCGAAGATTTGTGCTTCTTCGCAGGTTGCCCATCCTCTTGATGATGGTGTCTGTGTTTGCCGCGCGACGACAAAGACTCTTTTGTAACCAGTGACGCCCCAGACGTAGAATGCGCCGTAGACGTAGAAATCTTTGCGTCACTCCCTGGTGTTAATTGACTCGCTACTGTCGTAGTAACAGTTGCATATTTTGACGTTAGAGGAGGAAGCGGTGGCAGGGGAGGCATGGCTGTGCTAGCAGCCGAGGAACTTGCCCCGCTTGATGCAGTCACTGTAGAGGAAACTGGCAAGGGTTTGAGTTTACCCAGAGACGATTCCTTTCGTTTCTCTTTTTCCTTTTCCCTATCCTTCTCAGGTTTTGGCTTATGCGCTGCCTTTCCGTCCAAGTCATTTGTGAAGTATGATCCATCGTATGAAGCATACCCGTTATGTGCTCCGTCCAGGCTATTGTGAATCGAAGCCATTGATGAATTACCCAAGCTAGTGCTTGCTGCCCCATTGCTTGTTTTGCTTGATTCTCCTTTCACCTTGCTGTGTGATACGCCCTGCAAATGTAGCAAAAGATAACCACGGCGTTTCAAAACCTACAAACACGCGATTTCTTTGTCAAGTGTAACTCTTTCCATGCATAAATCGTAATTTAAAAAAAAAAAAAAA